TTCTCTACTTATGTAAATGTTATAATTATACGACACCATGACAAAAGCAATAATAATAATAATAATAATAATAATAATAATTTTTTCCCTTAAAAAGAAATGGAAGTGTAGACTCATGTCAAACATCTCATGACATGACACATATAAACATAAGAAGCCCTGTTCTGGCACCTACTATGTACAGAAGATAGAACAGACAACACCACAGAAAAAGTCCCTTTTCAGGGAACCTACACTCTATAATAAAACTAAACACAGGATCTAGTAAGACAGGATAGGAATGTATCTATTAGAAGCGGCAACACACAGAGCTTGAGTGACCCTGAGAAATTTCAGAAGAGCGATGGGAAAAGACAGCAGATCAGAGCAAAGAGAAAAATGAGTAGTGAAGAACTGTAGTAGATCTAGGCTATATTTTAGAAATTCTGCCTTAATGAAGGACCCAAGAAATGGGGTGAGAGATGGAGAGGAGCACTCGGGTTTAGGAAGGTGTTTGGTTCTTTAATTTTTAATATAGGGATACCTGAGCATTAATTCATTTATTCTTTCAATCGTTCAAAAAACACTTACTGAGCACCAAAACAGTGTTCTTATGCAGCTTAGGATCTACTAGGGGACAGAGGCAATAAACAAATACAGACGTAACTTCAGGGAGAGAGAAATGCTTGGAAGTCAAGTGAAGCAGATGAAGGAATGGACAGTAACCATGATATTTTAGATAGGGGAGTCAGGGAGGCCAGCCAGCTCTGAAGGGTAACGTCTGAGGGAGAACTGAGTGAAGTGCAAGAGCAAGAATCCCAGACAGGAAGGGCTTGGGAGGTGAGAGCAGGTGGAGAGGAGGAGGAGAACAGCATTCCAGGCTGGAGGGTGGCATGTCAAGGGCCTGTGAGAGGCTGGTGTGGCTGGAGCACCTTGAGAAATGGGCAGAGAGAGGAGATGGGGACAGGGAGGTGGCGGGGCCGTACAGTATATGGACTTTATATTGTTTGTAGAGGAGCCACTGTGGATAGTATAAAAGCAGGAAACAGAATTCTCATGGCTGCTGTGTGAACTGCGACCACAAGGTAAGGAGTAGAGGCAGGAAAGGGGCTGGGAAAGTGATTCCAAAATCCTAGCAAGAAGTGGTGGTGGTGGTGGCCTGGGATTGGCTGTAGGTGTGGGATGGGAGATGAGGAGTGCTTGGACTTGGGATAGATGCTAATGGGTCTAATATGAGGTGTGAAAAAAAGGCAGGGATCCAGGAAGACTTCGGGTTTGGGGGCCTGAGCAACTGGATGGAGTCACTGCCAAGATGAGGAACAACGAGACTAGTTAGAAAACAAATGAGAGGTTGGTTTTGCCTGTGCCATGTTTGGGATGTCCAGTAGACAACCAAGTGACTGGTCTAAGCCAACAGATGAAGAACCAGGGAGAGATAGGGCCTGGGGATATGTATGATATGGGAGTCCTCGCCATACAGATGGTATTTAAAGCTCTGGAAAGGAGTATCACCTAAGTAGTGAGCCGAGACGGGAAGCAGAGAAGAAAGCCACTGGCACTCAAAAGTTAGAGAGGCCAGGACTAGGGAGAGGAGGATCCAGCAGGGGAGACAGAAAAAACAAGGGAGTTGCAAGGAGAATGAAAACAGCATCACAGAAGCCAAATAAAGAATTTCAGGAAGGAGGGAGTGGTCAGCTGTGCCCAGTGCTGCTAAGATAAGCAAGAGCTCCAAGATAAGGGGCCAGGGCCTCCATGACTCATGATGAATGAACAATGCTCTGAGATAACATTCCTTACCCACAAATGCACTCAGGCTATTTAGTAATCTGGAATAGTAAATCAGTTCATCCAGAACACCAACGCTCAGTCTCCATGAAGGCCTCATCACATGGCCAGCCCTCCCTCCTTCAGGATTCTCCCAGAAAGCAACCCAGGAGATCCCCATGCAAAGAGAAATAAGGGCAGCTCTCATGGGGAGGCTTAAAAGAAATGGATTGTTCGACCAATGCTCATGGGGGAGAATCAGATATGCTTGGGCAGAAGTGTTCCACAGGTTTCTACGTTTTTCCAACTCACAGCCTGGGAAAAGAAAATTAATGAAATCATTCCACCAGCTTACATAGCCACTGAAACTGCAGAGGATCTGTAGTTTCTGCAACTTCTGATTACTGTTTCTAACCCCTTTTTCTCTCCCTATTTGCCATGTTGCGCCACCGGATTTTTTTTTTTTTTTAAATCTGAGGTTTAACTTATATATATGGTAAAAGTTTACACCAACTCCGGTGCATGTTGACTAATAGAGAGTCACGTAGCTTCCTCTTGCCCCTCCATAGTCAGTTTCCTCCACTCACTTCTGGTCCTTGGCAAGCAAGGAGCTGATTTCTCTCTATAGTTTTGCCTTTTCAAAGTGTCATATACCTGGCATCCAATCATATGCAGCCTTTTGTATCTGGCTTCTTTGACTCAGAGTTAACACTTTCGAGATTTATCCATGTCATTGCCTCTATCGGTAATCTGCTTCTTTTTGCTACTCAAACGCTATTCCATGGTGGGCATGTACCAGTTTATCCATTTGCCAGTCGACGGATGGACATTTGAGTTGCTTCTCTTATGAATAAACTTCTATAAGCTTTTGCTAGAAAGTCTTTTGTGGACACAGGTTTTCATTTCTCAAGTCAACACCTAGGAGTGGAATTGCTGGGTCACGCAGCATCTTGTTTTTGCCCACTAAGAATAGCTCAACATCTACCGAGCACTTTGTATCACACAATATTCCAAGCTCCTTATGTGCCTTGTGTTAATTTTTAAAACAGCAAGTTGTTTAAACAAGTTAGTAATGCCCCCGCCTTATTGATAAGGAAACTAAGGCCACAAAGGGATTAGGTGACTTGCCCAAGATCACACAGCTAAGCAGGCAACAGAGCCAGGATTCGCAAACCTAGGAATCACCCAAGTGCAAGTTATCAACCATGTTGCTTTGCTGCCTCCCTCAAGTCAAATGCGTGATGGCTTAGAGAGAGATTGCAAAGTTCCACCTGAGGTTCTAAGTGTTTGGGCCCAAAATGGCCATTGCTGACTACTCCTTTTCCCCTCTTTAAATCATGACAATGAATACACTGGAACTCTGAGTGTCACTGCAATGACAACATGCCATTTTTTAAGTCAGAACTTTAGAGGACATTATGAAGAAATGCTTTTACCTGTGTCACGGAAGCTTATAACCTATTAATGCTAACAACTGTAAGGACAGCTAAAGTCAGTCGGCTTCCACCAGTATGGTAAAACTCTTCTGGAGATTTCTCCACTCTCATGATGTAAGAGGCCGTGCTGGTTAGAAAATTATAAGGACCCTGGAATCAGATAGACCTGGATTTAAATTTTGGCTCTGCTTCCTAGTGGGCTGGTAGATAGACAGACAGACAGACATATACGACTCACATGTGAACACGTGTAAGTGCTAATTTGCAAGGCAGTTGTAAAGATTTGATGGCACAACATGAGACACTGAACACTGTGTCTTACATAGTTAATAAACCCTCCTCTCCCCCATCCCCCTTCTCTTCTACAATGTACTGCCCGGCCTCTGAAATTAGTATGATAGAGTAACTTAGCAAAAAGTTTTTTTTTTTTCCACAGGTCTGTTCCTTTTTCACCCAAAAAGCAGGAAAGGAGAGACTGGACCCAGGTGCTTCTTTAAAATTTCATATTTCATCTTAAAAAAGAAGTCATGAGAACTTCATGCTTTATATCCCACGGAATAAACAAAAGTATTATAATATTAAAATGTTTTACCCTTGACCTCCAGCTACGTGACTTCACTTTCTCCTGAAATGTCTAAGAATACTTAAGGAAGATCCCCCCGAACACACAGCGGCCTCACTTGCACGCTGCCACCTTCCTGATTGTAAAGCAGGAAACGATGATGTCTTAACACTCCAGAGTGAGTCCGCACACTCTGGTCATTCTTCTCTCCTGGCTGCAACATCTTACCATCGCCTTCATGTTTACCCTACAGCTCAGTCCAGTTTAAGCTCCAAGAACTTCGCATCTTCCAAACAGGAAAACAGCTATGTCCTGTTACCCCTGTGCGCGGCCTCCGGGCCACCTCTGCTAAAGGGATGCTGGTACAGCCTGCCTCCTTCCTGAGACAAATCTCTGGTACAGCCGTTAACAGTAAACACAAATACTGCAAACTTGGAAAGAGTTTTCAGATAAAAATAAGATACTGATCAAGAATGATCTTTAAGTCAATGGGGATAACAAAAGACTGATAGTAAAAAAACAAACTAACAAAAACAAAAAAAAAAGACTGATAGTTATTTTTAATCAACTGAACCAAATTGAATTAATCAATATGAATTGAAAAGACACATGACTCCGGAGAAGCCAAAGGATTTCATTCATCTATGCTAACAGAATGTGGTTCCTCAGAGTTGTGTATGCAGTATGATAAAGGAGATAATTTAGTCCTTAAAACATACTTCCATGAACTAGCATTATTTTCTTCATACCACTTTTTGTCTTCAGGTAAATACCACATACTCCCTTCCATTTCTACCATACACCCTTGTAAGTATGTTATTCAAAAGTCCCTGGGTGTTATAAGCACCTTCAGCAACTTGTGAGTTCACAGAAAGTTCGTTTTCATTCGCATCAAAAGCCTCCTGAAAATTCCCCCCTTCCTAAAATCTCTGTTCTGAGGATAGGGGTGGGAAGTCCTTGTGTATAAGATCTTGACCCCACAGGACATTGAGCCCTACAAAGAGAAATTACTTTTGCTATCAGAAGCTATTTTCGGAAGCTAACACAGAAATGGGTTATTTTTTAGCAAACCATGTAGACTAAAAGAGGAATTAAAAAAAAAAAATCAGGGAGCTTCAACTCAACAAACGATCTAGGACCCTACAACATGCCAGCAAGTTATAGAAACGACGAGAAGGGTAAGGGTCTTGTGCTCCTGGAGCTAACAGTGCAGAGGGGAGCTGGGGGTGCTGTTCAAATATACAGGAAGGGCATCTTACCCAGACTGGATGGGTGAGGAGTCAGAAAAGGCCTCTTGGAGGCAGGAACATCACCTGAAGGATGAGGAAGCATCAATAAATACAACGGACCCTTGAGTATGCCATCTGGCCTTTCAAGTTCTCATTTCTTCTCATCTGTGATACTGGGTGGTTAGATTATGTTAGTTTACCCTGACCCTTGCTATGCATCAGAATCCTCTGGGAGCTTTCTAAAAATACTGGCTCCCTCCTCCAGAAATGCGGTTTCAATGGTGGCGGGGGGGGGGGGGAAGGGCATCTGTGTTTCTTCCAACAGCTTTCCAGGTGATGCCAGTCTGCAGTGGGGAACCACGGGATGCGAGGTCTCCCAAGGCTGTGCTTCTCAACCCCAAGTAGTCAATAGCACCCTCTGGGGAGCTTTTGAAAATGCCAAGGCCAGAACCTCTGGGGGTGGGGCCCAGGCATCAGTATTTTTTTAAAGTTCCCAGGCTGCTTCCAAAGAGCAGCCAAGGTTGAGAACCACTGTTCAAGGCCTTCTTAATCCTTCCATTTCCTATCACAGCCATTGAAGGATGGGAAAGCAAAGAGAAGCTTTTAAGTTTCTCCCTCTCTTCTGTATCAAAAGGGGAACTGAATGTCAAAGCCAGGGATGGATTTTATTTATTTTTTAAAATATTTTATTTATTTATTCATGAGAGACACAGAGAGAGGCAGAGACACACAGGCAGAGGGAGTATCAGGCTCCCTGCCCGGGTCTCCAGGATCACGCCCCAGGCCGAAGGCAGATGCTCAACTGCTGAGCCACCCAGGCGCCCCCAGGGATGGATTTTAAATGGGGTTGTAGCACACAGTGGGGTTGATCCTGGACACATGAATAATTCACGCTGACACCTGACAGGTAGAAAAATGCCTATTCCAAAAGGCTCTCAGTTCTAAATTTAAAATTCAATGGAATATGTATAAAATGACTCCATGGTGTGTTCTCTGCAATACTTAGTTAGGATTTGATTTGCATGGCTGACTATAATATGAACATTACATTCCCTACCCCCAAGGTTACTTAAATCCACTTATTAAGGCAATGGTGAGCTAAACAAACAGTAATTAGAAACACTCCAGACAACCTTTTAAATCTGCTGCTAAATTATATTTTTCCTGCACCAAAGCCCATACACACAGCATGTCCACAAGCATCACAAAACCAAAACCTCAGAAATATTTACATTAATGAGAGCATAAGTTCCTCTGGGTCTTCACATTGGATTCGGCAGGGAAGTTGGGCCTGCTTTAGAAAGGGGCTGTTCATTACTGTTCTCTCTCGCATCTGGGTAAATAAAGCACTGCCCACATGTGGTTAGAAATCCCAGGAGAAAATGAATTCTCCGTGGGTCTGAAAATGAAGAACACCTCTGATAGACGGCCTCATTTCCTGAAATGAGTCAGAAATGAAAGTAATTCTTCAGCAGAGAACATCTGTACTGTGGCACAGCTTCTACAATGATGCCAGATGATACCTGTGGCTAAGAGGCCGGGCCTGAGGGAGGAAGGAGGCCTGGAGAACAGGACTGGGGCCTCTGCACCGCACTTAGTCTCAGAAGAGCTGCTGCTGCTAGCTTAGAGAGTCGGCTAAATCCAATGAGCGGCCCGGTTATCCTGGTTTCAGCTGTAAATCTTGATTAGCAGTAAGCCTGCTTACATTCCATTAGGAAGCTGGCCCCTCTCCAAAGGGTGGAAGCAGCCAGAAAGGATTCACGTGCCATCGTGGGCAGAGAAACAGCGACTCTTAAAAGAAAAACTGTTTTACTTAAGAAAAAAAAAAAGAAAGACTGTTTTACTTAACTAAAAATAGTTTCTGCCTGTTAATGATTCAGATAGACCTTCCTTCCTGAAGAGAAAGGACAGCTGCGTGATACGACCTGCCGCTGCTGAGGGAAGCCCCTCCTTCCACATTGTGCAGGAAGGAGGCCCAGGCCTAGGAGGCCTACGGTCAGGTGCTGGAGGGTAAGAAAGACTGAAATACCTTTCACCGCAACTGGTAAGGGTCAATAAGCAGGAAAGTGAAAAAGGCTGTCTTCACAACATCAAATACCAGTTGTTTTTATGAGGTGGCTCATTACTGTTCTTTCCATAATGTGTTTTTTTTTAAAATTTTATTTATTTATTTATGATAGTCACAGAGAGAGAGAGAGAGAGAGGCAGAGACACAGGGAGAGGGAGAAGCAGGCTCCATGCACCGGGAGCCCGACGTGGGACTCGATCTCGGGTCTCCAGGATCGCGCCCTGGGCCAAAGGCAGGCGCCAAACCCCTGCGCCACCCAGGGATCCCCCATAATGTGTTCTTAAAGAGAATCCAACTCCACTGTTTGTAATGGAGGTGGAGGGGGTTCCTGGAAACAGCCTAAATGCCCATGAATAATAGGTCACAAGTTACATCTAAAACATATACATTTGGCCTCATTTAAGAGGCCAATTTGGAGGGTGTGCAGATACAGAGAGATCTGTATTGTGTGTGATGCATTAAGACCTGAGAAAGCTGCACCTGGACTCTGCACAGTAAACATCTGTGTCAAGGTATTTAAAGAGGCTGCCTCCCTGTGGAAGGAAGGGGCTAGGAGAGGGTTAATTTTCCTTTTATACTCCTGAAGACAGTTTGAATTCTCTTTTCATGTACTTAGCCCTCTCTCTTTAACAATAGGCATTAACTAACTAGGTGGGAGGCTATTTTCGGTTTCTTCTTTATACTAGTCTATTTAAAACAAATGAAGGTTATTTTAAATAGATGTTGTGTGCGCAACTGCAGTCTCCTCAAAATTCACTTGTTGAAGCCTTAACTCATGTGATCCTATGAGCCTTAATGGGGTGGAGGAGGTCAGAATGCAGCAGTTAGGGTGTCTGGGCGGCTCAGTGGGTTCTCAGTCAGCTTCACCCCCTGCCCCTCCCCTACTCATGCTCTCTCTCGTACGTATGCATGCTCTCTCAAATAAAATCTTTAAAATAATAAAATAAAATAAAAATAAAAATAAATAAAAAAATAAATAAAATAAAAGAAAAGAAAGAAAGAAAATGCAGCAGTTAGAATGGGCCCTAATCCAATCTGACTGGTGTCCTCCTGAGAGGAACTATGGACAGAGACACCCTCCCCCCCAACCACCCCCCAGAGGTGTGCACACACAGAGGAAGGACCACGTGAGGACACAGAGAGAAGGTGGCAGCTGCAAGCCCAGGAGAGAAGCCTCAGAAGAAACCAAATGTGCCAACACCTCAACCTTAGAGTTCCAGCCTCCAGAGCTGTGGGAACATAAATTTCTGTTGTTTGGTCACCTGGCCTATTTATCTATTTATAAACAGATGGATGCAGTTCTACTATCAGAACCGGGGGAGAGGCACCCGTGAAAGGATCTGAGGCGTCCATAACCCACCACGTCTGCTATGATGCGTCACTTGGAAGGCAAAGAAATCCGGGCTCACTGTGCTTCTGACTACATCAGAGTCCCCCCACAGTGACTTGAGCCAGAAGTAGAACAGGTTTCCTACCTCCTGAGTCAGGACTCAGTCTGCTCACACCACTTACTTTCCATGGCATTTTTATTTTATTTATTTATTTTTTCCCGTGGCATTTTTAACAAGTCCCATAACTTGAAGTACTAGCAACCAAGATCTTTTATTAGTGTCTTTTAAAGGCCTGGCTTACGGTCAAAAGGCTTCCTTCCTGTGCTAATAACTAATGAAGGGGAAAGTGTCACAGTAATATTATTAATTCAATTTAAAAGAAAAAAGCTTGGTGCCAGGGTTTAAAAAAATCCAGAAAAACAAATGACATGCCATATTTGTGTGCCAACCTAATTTTTTATATTTTAAAACATGTGGTCTCAGACCACATTGCAATATATTAAAAAATATGGTAGTCCAATGCTACTTTTTAAAGATTTATTTGAAAGAGAGAGAGAGAGAGAGGGAGGGAGAGCGTGCAGGCACGAATGAGGGGCAGGGGTAGCAGGAGAGAGAATCCTTGGCAGAATCCCCGCTGAGCAAGGAGCCCCTGGAGCCCCAAGATCATGACCAGAGCTGAAACCAAGAGTCAGATGCTCGAGGGATGGAGCCACCCAGGTGCCCTATCCAATGCTAAAATTTCTTTATGGCATGTTACATATTTTTACAAATTAATCCTTCCTTTTAAAATAGAGTTTAGAAATCAAAGATATGAGCAGCCTGGGTGGCTCAGCGTTTAGAGCCGCCTTCAGCCCAGGGCATGATCCTGGAGACCCGGGATCGAGACCCACGTCAGGCTCCCTGCATGGAGCCTGCTTCTCCCTCTGCCTGTGTCTCTACCTCTGTGTGTCTCTCGTGCATAAATAAATAAAATCTTAAAAAAAAAAAAAAGAAATCAAAGATACATTAAAGTCAGACTTTGCCTATGGAATCTGTAACCTAGAAGTGGGTTAAGACCCAGGCATATGAAAATATGATCAAAACTTGAAGATAAATATATGGTATTTATCAGTCAGTTCAGGCTGCAGTCAGAGGAATGTGGAATCAACTTTTACTTTGAATGGTTAGGAAAACTTTCACCAAGGGCAAAAGCTCTAAACCAATCTGGGATTAGATAGGTAAAAGTGAAGTGATTTATGTATGAGTAAGGGACAGGCAGGGCTAGGTAGGGGGCCAAGGAATAAGGCTCACAAAAATCCCAAAAATGTGGAGATGGAAGGAAACCACACGTAAACAAACGAGGGCATCCTGTCCTAGGTGTCAGAGATGGTGTCTTGTTACAACAGCTACTTGTGACCAACAAAGAATTACGGGACCCTAAAAAGGAAGTAAGCCATTGAAGGTGTTATCTCTAGTCCTTACTCGATGGTGGTATCAATAGATATGTTAAAAGTTCACATTCCCACCAACAGTGCAAGAGGGTTCCCCCTTTCTCCACATCCTCTCCAACATTTGTTGTTTCCTGCCTTGTTAATTTTCACCACTCTCACTGGTGTGAGGTGGTATCTCATTGTGGTTTTGATTTGTATTTCCCTGATGGCCAGTGATGTGGAACATTTTCTCATCTGCTTGTTGGCCATGTGTGT